TATGTATGTATGTATGTATGTATGTATGTGGTATGTGGTATGTAGGTATGTTGGTATGTATGTATGTATGTATGTATGTATGTATGTATGTATGTATGTATGTATGTATGTATGTATGTATGTATGTATGTATGTATGTATGTATGTATATGTGTATATGTATATACGTATAAATGTACATATATATATATATATATATATATTATACATGCATGCAACATGTTTACAGATCATACACACACACAGAGGCTACAAAAGGACACCAGCCGCTACATCCCAGTAGCAGTGCCAGGACAAGACAGTGATAGACTTGGCCAAGGGCTATCCAGCCATGGAAAAGCTGCCTGGTTTGTACTGTGACGTCACTGGAATGATGGGAATTGGATTGGGAGAAATCATTCCCAAAATCGCTTTGTTTCCGTTATTTTCAGGTTAGTTAATTAATCTAATTCAACCAGAATGAGGATAGAGGGAACTTAATCCTTAAATCTATGATAAACCGATGAATCGAAATGGTGATAAAGTTCTCAGAAATTCGGATGCAAAACAGAAGAGCGCAGCCATTCTACTGGAAAACAGGGTACAGCAGAAATAGGATGAACACTAGGAATTCTGCGCTGAAAAATTGGTTGGTTCATTGGGGGTAGTTGTCCGATAGTACCATTTGTAGTGGAGTTCTCATTGTACATGCTTAAGGTCCCATTTTGGCCGCTGCTCATGGAACGATTCATTTGTTTAGAGTCCGACACTTGTTTTGGTTGTATCATGCAGATTCTATTTGGCAAGGTGGTAGACGATGCTTTCAAACGGGCCAACTATGTGTAAGTCTTAGAAGTGCTGTGGGCTTTGGGACAAGCATGCGACTCAAAAAATATCGCTCAGCACCTGGTGTTCCAACGCTTGTGTTTTCTCCATGTTTTGTTTGATGAGAAGTTCCTTGGCGATGGATCAACATAAAAAAACGTCTCCGGTTTGACAGTTTGACCTACGCGGATTTTGGGAGAAGACCCCAGCATCCCCCAGCAGGTTTGAAAGAGGATGAAAGCCTGTCCCATAAGGCCAATGTCTAATTGGACATGTTTTTTTCTGGTGATTTTCACCATGAAACAAAGCCCTGTCATAAGTGCATGAATCATCATTTTTGTGGTGTTCCAACTGGGTCAACTGCCGTTTTTTTCATGTTGGATCGTGGCCCTTGTCCCGGATCAATGCAGCTAGCGTGATCTAGCTCCTTGCAAGTGACTTCAAGCATGTTCAAACCAAAATCTACAGACTTTACCCGTACAGGGCCGTACAGATGATGTATATTTATATATATATATACACTAACAACAATAATAATAATAATTAATAATAAATAAATAATAATAATAATAACTATTATTAGTGTTATCATTATATATACACATGTAATTGTAATTCAATTCATTGTATCATCGCTTCAATTTCTAGCCAGACTCCCCGAAGCCCAGGCTACTGGAGGCCTGAAAAAAAATTGGCGTCGCAGCTGGGCCGTGGTTGAGCTTAGTGGCTTCGGCTTTAAATGGTGGTTTCCATGGGGGATTCCCAATAGCTGGATGGCTTATACTGGAAAATCCCACTAAAATGGATGAGAACTGGGGGTTTTACCATTTTAGGAAACCTCCAAATTGGAATGAGATGGAGGAGAATACAAAACAAACACAGCTACACTTGCTCAATCTTTTTCGGAATCGAAGTTGGCTGACAGGAACAGTATAGTTCTTAAAGTTTTTGGGCAAAAGTGACCCTCCAAAATGATGTTGGGCTTTTACTTGTCCTGGCAGAGTTTCGCAGAACTCCACTGGTTTGCCTCCCGGATTTGCTCAAGGGATGGAGTGGAACAACAGATCCAAAAGATTGCAAAAGTTCAGCAGCCCTCTCCCAGAAGCCCTTGTAGCCCACGGCACCAGCATTTTGCAAGCAAACCTTCACTAGCAAGACATCCAAAGACAGATATGTTCACCAAACAAGTTAAGAGCTGATAAGAGCTGACGTAAGATTTTGGCTGAGCCATAGATTTTTCACGTCATTTGAATTCATAGCGCTTCAGACGACTTTTCGATATGAAAAGGTGTGGCGCTCAGATCGATTTGCGACCGAGTTTGACATTCAGCTGATATCTTCCAGAAAGTCAATAAATTTGACAGGTTTTGTCCAAGTTTTAACACCCACAAAGCGACACATGGAAGATGATAGAAATGGTCGTTCTTCGAAGTGGAGGTCATCCTGTCTCTTGGGGAATCTGAGGTCAGATGCAAAAAACAAACGAATGCAAGTGATGCTCGAGAATTCTGCGACTTACTCTGCCTCTCCCTCAGCCAAAACGCCTATGCTGTCATTTCCATTCTTTCATATCTTGCTGTATCTATTTAGAAGAGATTGAACATGAATTTCCAGTTGATCAAGCAGCATTTGTGGGATTTCAGTCAGGGTTTGTGAGCGGCTGCTCACTTCTGGTGGCAACTGAGGATGTGGAGTTTCAAGTTGGACCAGAGGGTGAAAGCTTTTTCGGGCTAAAGGCTGGCTGTGTTTCCCATTGGCAGACGGCCACTTCCCGTACACTCGTGGGTGGTTTCAAAATAGGAATGGATCAAAATCTATGAAACACCATGGACCATGGATTTATGGATGAACATCCATAACTCCTAGTGATTTAAGGCGCACCAAAAACTTTTTTCCAGGGGTTTTAGTAGCAGTTTTGACCCACGCTGGCCCACACTGCTGCTGCGAGGCCATCTATGCACGGGCCTCCGAGGTTTTCTCGAAGATGTTTTTTGAGACCAGTTTTCGGGAACAGCAAGAAACCACACCGCGAGTGGTGGTCACTTGGCGTCACTTTATTGGAAGAACCGGGCAACGGCAAACCCATGAGAATTTGATGGTTTATACTACTCTTTTAGACTGTAGAATGTTATTATTGTAACATATTGTGGGTCCATTTAGTACATTTTTGAGCCAGAAACCAATTGATACTTCGATCCATGAATCCCAATTCTGAAGTTTTGTGTATTTTTCAAAACTGGGGGTGATTGGCTCATGGTATGAGGGGATGGGTGAAAATCGGATACCCCAGAACAACTTAGAGGGTAAAGACTAAACTAAACGGAACACTAAAACATTCTAAAACACGACCCATGTTGGCTTTTAATTTTGACGCACAGCCTAATATAAGGCCATGGTCGTTGTGCCATTGATGTGGTACACTCTGTCGGGGGGATATGACATATTGGAACATGGTTCTGAGGTGTTTTGCAACCTTGGAAGCCGCCATGAAAAAATATGGCATATCATGGCTTACAAATTTGCCATTGAATATCATTGAATAAGCATCAATTAAGCCCATACAAGGTGAGGCATCCGATTATAAGTTGCTTTACTTTATAAAGCCATTAACTAGTTCATTATTGTTCATGATATTCCCCATAAGCCCAAACGTTAAGCTCAGAGCCACCCTGAGGTGAAGATAGAGGACATCATGCCTGCAGCCTTTCGGATCATGCACCGATGGGTTTATGTCGGAGGCCCAGGGTGGAACAGAGATCACTCCCGTGTTAAGAATGGGACCCATTGAATGAGATCCAGAACTCAATTCGGGTTTCTCTTGCGACTTATGAACAGGGGGGGATGGATTATTCACATCAAGTTGAGGTAGAACACCCACGTAAGAATGCATCATGATGAAACTCAACTTTTCGGAGCCCCAAATGCACAACGATGTGTTCCTCAATCACATATCCGAAAGATTTGTGGCTCTGAATCCGTTGAGTATGGCTGAACACCTTGTTGATGCTTCTTGCCTTTTCATATACCAGTTAGGTTACTACTAGCTGTCAGATGTTGTGGGACTCCTTTGAAACAAGCACAGTTCTCAAGTTTTTGACAATTGCCCTGTGGTAATCTAGCTTGGCAATGGAGAATCCTCCTGGCTCTACAGAGTGGAAAAACACAATCGATAGGCACAGCTTGTTTTCCCAATCATTCCAGATCATTCCAGTCAGCCATGATTGATTACCCTCTGGTAATTTAACATAGCTATTGAAAATGGCCATTTATAGTGGATTTTCCCATTGAAAATGGTGATTTTCCATAGTTATGTTAGTTTACCAGAGGGTACCAGATTGTTTCCACTGAAATTTCCAAGGACATGGATGTGACTTTGTCTTGGGACACCATCTTTGGCGTACTCGACGCAGCTCGCAAGTATATGGTGGAGGATGCTGCGGGCCAGTCTGGTGTTTGCATGGCTTGAGAAGTGATTTGTTCGAGACTTGCAGATCTCAAAATCCTCAGCATAGTATATTAGACTTCACTTTTTGTTCATTGAAGAAATTTGGGTGATTGAAGGCGCCCGAAGTTCAAGAAGCAAACAATCAACCGTGAACTCATTCCTGGAGGACCTCGAATTGACGTGTCGTCGTTGGATAGCATTGGAAGCGAGAGCAGCGACCGGTGCTGTCGGTCGCTGCCTCAGGGGGTTGCATTGGGAAAATCAGGGAACATCATGGGAATTTCCCTTGAAGCACTACAAGGATCTACAAGGTGCATCCTGATGTGCCAGAACAATTGAATGCAGTTGTAGCAGTTTCTTGTAGCTGGCAAGATGATACATAGCAACTTGCATGTCATATTTTCAGGATGGGTGTTTCAGCCAACCAGTCGACTCTTGGTTCATATCCCATCAGATTCCCATTCTCGTGGGTCAATATTTATGTAGATCATCAGTATCATACCCAGACATGTAGGATTTTCTAAGTTCATATTGCCTCTTTGTGGGTAATGTCCCCATGGATCTTCTATTCTATCCACTTGATTGTTCTTGATTGATTGAAGGGTGTTCAAAACCTTGCAAAGGCCGATGATGATCATAGTGAGTCATACTCACGAATACATGTCTTTTTTCCTAAATCAATCCAAATCGCCATCGGAATCTCTATTAGCCAAGCAGGATAATGGAACAACCCAGGGTTTTGAACAATGCTCATGTAGATTTTTCATGATTTTCCTCAACCAATTCAACGATTATGTCTGAGCCCATGCTGAGGCCTATTCTGTGCTGCCGCGGCGGGCCAGTCGGAAGCCCAAAATGTGGCGATTGGCCTGAAAAAGAGTGGTGATGTCCAGAATTCAACCCCATTTTCGTGAAAACAACATTAGATATCCAAGGATTTTACAACCATTCAAAACCATTTCAAAACCATTATTATACTTATAGGAAAAACATGTTTTGGGGGTCTTGACAATGTTTTCTGCCGCCGTATACAGACCAACAGCTTGGTGCGGGGAACACATCGGATTTGAACCCCCCTGTGGTTGTTTCAGAGGGAGTAAAACAGCTCGCATGTTGTATGTACCCTCTGGTTATTTAACATAGCCAGGGTATAGATGGCCCATTTATTTATAGATGGTTTACCTGGGTTTACCTATCAGAAATGGTGATTTTCCATGGCTATGTTAGTCATAACCAGAGGGTACATATCATGTTCAGATTTCGCCGTCTTTCTCCGGTGACAGGTGACATAATTTTTGACGGGTTGAAGCAGCGACAAAACTCGCAACTCGCATCTCATCCCGGTGTCATCCTGGGGCCTGGGGTTGTCTCAAAGTTGGGAACACAAAGAGCGCCCATGGCTTATGGTTAGAACGACACAAACAGTTGATCAAGGGTCTAATTATTCCTGGATGCTATCATTTGCTATCAAATTGATAATAGGATATCAATTTTTTCCATATAAAAACCATCCATGATAATCCTATGGATTATATATCACTGATGATTTTTCCATCTTGTCCCATTTTTGATGTTTTTTTTTGACTTTTGATGCTTGGTGGCTCTAGAAATGGAGCCATTTGAGGTGGATTCCCTGGAGTGAAGCGCTGCGGGCACGGGTGGATGGCCCAGTGAGTGATGGCCGGCGTTGAGGAAGTCACTGGCGATTCTTGGGGATTCCAAGATCTTCCAAACAGTTTATAGCCCCAAGAACCATAAAAAACCATGAAAAACCATGAAAAACCATGAAAAACCATGAAAACCATGAAAAACCATGGTCTAGCATAGGATTTTCCTCATAGCGGGGCTGTGAAATTGTGATGGGGGAGGATGGGATTTTAATCAGAACGATGCACTTTGTTCGTTGTGTTTTTGGTGTTGACCCAGTTAGCTCTCAAGTTTACCGGCAGCATCCATTTTGCTTGCTTGAAGCTTTCCTGGATGCTCCCAACAAAGAGTTTTAGATACTGTATCTATCTAAACCACAAACCAAATGAGGGAAGATTTACAGAAACCTCTATATATATATATTTGATGAGAAAAAGCATTGCTTCCTGTAGATTCAATTGGATGGGTTGAGTATCATTTCCAGTTTGAGTTTTAGAAAAATAGCTATAGCCGCGATAGCCATCAAGGTGCAGTCCTTTGGAGCAGCTGCATTGGCTGCATCTCCCGAGGCGTCCATTCACCTGTCAGCTGCAATATATATATATATATATATGTATATATACATATTGCCTTTTATTTGGATGATGATTATGATGTATATCATATATATATATATAAATTATTGATATATTACTACTGGTTGGTGGTTTGGAACATTATTTATTTATTTTTTCCATATATTCAGAATAGTAACCCCAACTGACTTTCATATTTTTCAGAGGGATTGAAACCACCAACCCGATTATATGTTATGATATAGGCTTATGATACATATTTTTTGTTTTCTTCTAGATGATATTGACTTTTACATACATGATGATGATGTACGCCTGTACGCATGCATCATGTATCTATCAATATGTATATACATATGGTATCATATAGTCAAATGTACATGATACTCTATATGTCTCTCTCTCTATATATACACATGTATGAATATAGCTCATATAGATGTATATATGACGAGGCATATAGGCTCGTCCCTGCTCCTGGAACCACATACGATGGGGTGGGGGGGTGGGGTGGGATGTTAACGTTCATGTGAATTAACGTGGGATGTTAACGTTCATGTGAATTAACGTTCATGTGAACTTGCAGAAGCAGTTGATGCTACGCACACGCGGGGTGGGGGGGGATGGGGTGGGATGTTAACGTTCATGTGAACTTGCAGAAGCAGTTGATGCTACGCTCACGAGGACTGGGACAATATATATATATATATATTTGAATATATTTACAGAATTCTTCAGATATCTATATATATATATATTCATCATTTTCAATATATATTTATATAGTTGAACTTACATATGTGTATGATGATGATGATGATGATGATGATGACCCTGATGAAACTTGTCAATTCCGCGACTAAATTTCGTCATGGAATTGACAAGTTTTACCAACCTAATTCAGGTTTGCGCGGTTCCAAGAGCAGGGACGAGGCTATATATACACATAAGAGAGAAACAACCAGTATAGCGACTTGGCGTGTGGATTCATCATGTTGAATCTATGGCTTTATCAAGATCCGGGTAGAACATCAACAAAAAAGCCCCAATCCCCAAATCACTATGAAAGCCCATGAGATCATAAATCCAAGAAATCCCAATAAATCAAAAATGCCAATCAGATAATCATTAAGTCCCAACCATGGCACGGCTGGAAGATCTTTGAAGCGCACTTTTGGCAGGCTGTGGGTCAGCTTCCAGCCGATGCATTGATGTCGTTGTTGAGTAGCGAGGTCCAGAAGAATCTGTTGCTGGCGGCCAAAATGAACCAATTTTGGGGCCGATTTTTGGGGTGTGCCCCATCTCACGCATTTGGGGAATGCAATCAGCACGGGTTGATTGCCATGTCCCAAGCCATAAAAGGAGGATCGTGCAGATGATAGCAGGTCAAACCAGTTGAAGGTCACTCGAGAGCTCCAAGGGACTTCAACTTCCAACTCATTTTGGATTTGTTATTTGCTTGTCATTTCAAGTATAGATATAGAATGATATAGACATAGTGACATAGTGTATATTAATCATTCAAGTTTGGGTTACCCGACGACTCCTCTCCCCGTTTGGTTGGAATCGACTGAACCATTCTGACCGGCAGGATCTATCTGTAGAAAAAGAAGAAGAAATTTTCGACGCCGTACAGGCTGGGTAGCAATCAGTTGTCTCAAAAAGATCAAAACAGATCAAGTGTCACGGTCAAGTCGCAGTCTACTTAGTCTACTACTTTTCTTCACGCAACCTTGGTAAAATTGGGCTCGATGACTCGTTTTTTCTTCTTCTTTTTCTTCTTCTTCATTTTGATATTAATCATCATTAATAATCATTAATAGATATTCACCATCAATTTTAGAGTTCCATGTTGGAGGATTCATAGCCCTCGACCATCGGGCCAAGGCTTGGGCTGCTGCTGCAAGTGAGCGCGGCAAGGAGAGGGCTGGCGGATTCAAAGTATTCTGCGGATGTTGTTAAACGTACGAAGGGTCATGTAACATGTATATATATATATATATTATAATATAATAATATATAATATGATCTTATCTAGAATGCATTATCCGTTCTTTTCAGGAGCTCTTTTTTGGCCCAACGTTTTTGGATCAGTTCCTCGTTCCTCAGGGGTGCGTTGAGCTGCCAGGAACCGGCAGCAGCGTGGCAGAGAATCACTGAAGCAGATGTCATTCATTTTCATTTGCTGGAGCAAAGGCCGAACGAATCGGAAAGGAACCGGCTTGAAAGGAACAATATTTTTGGCTATGTAAATTATATTTAAGGGCTTACGCCTGAGCCGGGCGCCGGCAGAGAAACGGCCTGAAGTCAGTGTAGGGAGCATGTTGCGCTCATGTTGAGGCTATGTTGGCGATATCTTAGACCATCCCGGATTGAAGGGCCGCCCTTGGGTCCATGTTGGGTCAGGTCGGGCTTAGCTTGGGCCTATCTTGGGCCCATGTTGGGCCTATGTTGGCCTATGTTGGCTCTATGTTGGCCCTATATTGGCCTATGTTAGCCCTATCTTGGGCTTTGGGCTGCGCTGTCCTTGGCTTTGCGCGTTTTCCCCAAGGATTTTCGCCACCGCAGCCCTCATCCTGAGCCGTAGGATTTTCCATTGCTCCTTGTTGCCAGCCGCGCAACGAGAAGTTTGGGACATACGCAACTGCGTTGGCACCCCCAGTGGCGGTGGCATCCCTCCAGGTCGGGGCCCGAGTGGCCATTCCACGGGGAAATCCTCGACCTGGGGGCGCCAGGGCTTGCCTTTTTCTATTTTTGCTTCGTGCAGCAGGTGAGAATCCCTGGAATGTTGAATTCCGGATCCAGGCACTTGCCAAAGGGTAAGTGTCTCTAATATCTCTAATGCAACGTTTAGCAGGCATGTTGGCCCTGTCTTGGCACTATGTTGGCCTATGTTGGCCCCATGGGCTATGTTGAAGCTATGTTGGTGATATGTGAGACCATCTCTGTTGAAAGGCCTCCAAGATGCCAATTGTTTCCTTCCTGGACCCCTCCGCGGAACCAAAAACAACGTAAAAACCACGTTTTTTTACTTGCGCCACCAAGCCCAAAAAAGCAGCCCCCGAACGGGAAAACACCATGGCAGCAGAGGGCGAAACAGCTGCGGGTTGAAAACCTTTAACGCCCCTTCTGAAATCCAAGAAAATGCGACAAAGGACGAACAACATCAAAAATGCACGGGGAAGGGGCCTAACGTTGCTGCTGAAATCTTACAAAGCAAAGACAAAGCTCCTGCTGCCACCTCCCGGCAGCAAAACACCAAGACACGGAAGGACGAACGACATCAAAAATGCACAGGAAAGGGGCTTGACGTTGCTTCTGAAATCCTATTTGCTGCTGCTGCTGCTGCTGCCGCGGCTGCTGCGGGGGTTCGCATGTACACGCGAAATAAAAATCGCATGTACACGCGAACGACTTAGGGGAGAAAATCGCATGTGCACGCGGAAGATCGCAACTACACGCGAATAGGCAATGTCTCTCTTTTCCTTGTAAAAACCAATGAAAATGGAGACTTGTGGTATATGTGACGTTTCTATCTGCAACCATGCGTGGAAGTTGGTGGAAGCAGGCTATCTGTGCGGCCAAGATCGCAACTACACGCGAACAGGAAACGTCTTTAATGTAAGTTATCTCTCTATCTATGTATCTATCTATCTACCTGGCTAGCTAGTGAGCTATCTGTCTATCTATGTATCTATCTATCTACCTCGCCAGCTAGCCATCTATCTTTCTATCTATCTATCATCTATCTATCTATTTTCTTCTATCTATCTATCTATCTATCTATCTATCTATCTATCTATCTATCTATCTATCTATCTATCTATCTATCTATCTATCTCTCTCTCTCTATCTATCTATCTATCTATCTGGAAAGTTTAGATGAAGAAGTAGAATGGAGACACTGGTTTAGTGGAACGCAGGGGGGGGGAAGTTTAAATAAAGAAGTAGAATGGAGACAATGGTTTGGTGGAACGCAGGGGGGGGAAGTTTAAATAAAGAAGTAGAATGGAGACAATGGTTTGGTGGAACGCAGGGGGGAAGTTTAGATAAAGAAGTAGAATGGAGACCATGGCTTGGTGGGACGCGGGGGGGAAGTTTAAATAAAGAAGTAGTATGGAGACAATGGTTGAGTGGAACGCAGGGGGGGAAGTTTGAATAAAGAAGTAGAATGGAGACAATGGTTTGGTGGAACGCAGGGGGGGAAGTTTAAATAAAGAAGTAGAATGAAGACAATGGTTTAGTGGAACGCAGGGGGGAGAAAGTTTAAATAAAGAAGTAGAAAGGAGACAATAGTTTAGTGGAACGCGGGGGGGGGGAAGGAAGTTTTGGGAAGTTTAAATAAAGCAGTAGAATGGAGACAATGGTTTGTGGAACGCCCGCGGCAAGAGATGAAGAAGTAGAAAGGAGACAATGGTTTAGTGGAACGCAGG